CGTCGACGGTTCCTCCCTAAAAACACGGGGTAATATACGCGATCTGTAAGCAGCGCGATGCCTGGATGACTGCAAAAGGAGAGGAATGTGCAGGAAATATGAAGAAGGAGAAGAAGAAGAAAAAAATTATAGACCGACCTTGGAACATTTAGCGGGCCAGTAAGTCAGTAAACGGTCCATGAAGAGATGCGAAAACGAAACAAGCACGGTGTAACATAACGCAGCTGGGAAATAAAAGAAAAAGAGTTCATCAGGAAGAAAAGTTCCGAGGCGCGCAACGGGCCGTAGTACGTTCGACGGGAGGAAATTTTTGTCAAGGGCGAGTTCTCGGTCGTGAGCTCGCGCTGCGTGACGTTTACCCCGGATTCGTAATTCTTTCTTGCTCTTTCCTCTCGCCGCCCTTCGAGGAGAACGAGGTAAAGCACGAGTCACTCGTGCGCCGTATATGAATGTCAGGGCGCAACAGACATTGACGTAACCATGTGCACGCGACGGTGGTTACGTCGCGTTATTTTCTTCTGTAAGCTTTGTTACTGTTCTTTAATATTCAGTACATACGTTGGCAAAAAGAAATAAAATAGAGCTCACCCAGACTCACTCAATAAATATATTTTGTGCTTTCGGCTCACTCGTACTCAGCCTCGAGGCAGCTGCATTTCCGATGGAGGCGAAAATGCTGTAGGCCCGTGTGCTCACATTTGAGTGCACGTTAATGAATCCCAGGTGGTAGAAATTTCCGGGGCCCTCCACCACAGCGTCTCTCATAATCATATGGTGGTTTTAGGACGTTAAGCCGCACATGTCAATCAAATCAAGGACTGAGTCGCGTCAATATTTTCCTCAACCAGACTCAGACTGATGGCCGATTCTGAGTCTGCGTAAATGAGAGTAAGTTAGTAAGTTCATGAGTGAGTTGGCCGACCTATGCTTGAAGATACGCCAATTTATAAGGCTGTAGGGAAAATGTGCACAGATTAAACGTAGCACACTTTGCGGCTCTTTTTATTGTACAGACAAGCCTGCAGTGTTTCGTTTAAGCGCAGAAGACTTGCAGGTTTGACGTGCCCAGGGCCAGATGCAAATGTCCTCGGATTGAATCCCCGCCCTGGCGGCCGCATTTCCTCGGAGACGGAATGCTATAGTGACGTGTGCTTAGATTTAGGTGCACACTGAAGACCCCCAGATGGTCGAAATTGCCGGAGACCTTCACTACGACGTCTGCCATAATCATACCATCATTTCGATGCGTAATACCCAAGCAGTTATTGTGCACAGGGTTCATTAGTTCTGCATAAGGTAGAAAACCACATTAGTATTCAAGCCTTAAAACTAAAAATGCTCATTCTACTTCACAAGAAACATGTCCGCTGTATTACATGTAATGATTAAATTGATAAAGTAAAAAGTAAATGTTTTATGTATTAAATATCAGCTTAATCGAGGTCTTCAACACTATATTTTTTTAAGGTGTTCGTCTTAGATGTGGTCGACCCTGTACAATATAAATAACAACGTATAACTTCCTGCGAAGTTCTCATTGATTTACGCATTTGAAAACTCACTATAGCGAAGTAATCTTGCCGGGCCATTGGACATAAGCAATTATTGTATGACTATGAGTATGACAAATGAAGTAAAGGAACCGCAACAAAACATTTCCCACGTTATTTTGCAAGTGTGCGACTCGTACAGCCATGGCGACATAAAAAAGCTTTCTGCGTTTATTATTATTATTATTATTATTATTATTATTATTATTATTATTATTATTATTATTATTATTATTATTATTATTATTATTATTATTATTATTATTATTATTATTATTATTTCTTTCTCATCACTCAGCACAATATTGTGCACAGTGGCATAATGATACGGGAGGTGCTGTCACCGTCCATTAGAGGGGCCGTGTGAACCTCCAAGCTACAATTCAACGTCCCATGTACAAGCGTTTTCCAGCAGTAATGACTTAAGTGCACGTAATGTTACAACCCAAAGTTGGACCAGTTGATATTGACTCGTCACGAACAGCATCACCTAACCCAAAAACAAGACTGAAAACAACACTTTGGTTATATATATCGGGTTTGTGTTAAACCACGCAACTCGCAAAGAGTCTCGCGCATGCAGACTCCCTCTAGTTTGCTGTTAGGGCAAATTTCAACCACCTACTCCAATTTCTAAGGGGGCCGAAGTGTCTCACCAACACAAAACAAATATCTGTAAAAATAAAATCATCAGTGACGGCTTCGATTGTGCTTCCAAGCTCAGGTTTCATTCGAGAAGTGGCGTCCACCTATCGTATGCGCGAGGAGCTTAGATTTTTGGCCATATAACCTCTGCGGTGCATTGTACTTTCATTCGTTGGCTTCCACTTTACAAAAACATTGAAAGCTTGGCAAGCATTGGCAGCATTGTCAGCGTCGCCAGCATTGCAAGCATTATCAAGCATTGCCTTAACATTTGCAGTGCGGCTTTTAGTTCCGTTCCCTACTTTTTAGGTAAAAGAAAATAAAGATAAATGAATGAAACAGCTTGAAGTTTTTTATTTATTTTTTTTTATTTTTTGGGTCGACTCCTTTCAGCGTGTCATTGTGAAACATGCCCGCGAACAACAGTATGGCTAAGCCATTTTGTCTTCGAGAGAGGACGACTGGTTCTGACTTCTCCGTTTCATTTTCCTTATTGTTTCAGCATAAGCAGTTACGCAAGAACGCTTGTGTTGAAGATCCGGCTCAAAAAGGCCGTAAACGCGTCTGCCCGTCTTCCATCGTGCAGGAGCTTTGGCGAGTCGGACATGCCGGACATCTTCCTGTAGCGAACTCGAGGAAACGAGGGGCTTGACGAGGAAGTGGGTGGCAGCGCCACCACTCGAAACGAGTGGTCACTTCTTTTAACCGGCGCTCCGCTGCGAATTCTTGAACAAAGTATCGTCGTTTTCCGTCAGAAAGCGACATTGTGCTCTAACCTTATGTAGAGTTACTGTATGTCACTCCCTTTAGGTACCCGAGTTACGCGCCTGTTTTCCAAGCGCGCTGGCAACCGTGCATTCCTGAGGAGCTGACGCTCGGACCAGATCTTTTATTTCCCAAGGCCACCTTTCAGCGAACTAGGTTGACACTAGCGATCGCTAGTCAAGTCCATGGCCGGTGGGCAGCTCTCCAGGCAAGTCGATCGTCGACACGCTGGACATGCCACCTGCAGACCCCGTGCACTACCTTGCCGTGTAGCTGCGGTTGCTAGCCTGGCACGATGGCGGACTTGGTGCAATTCTGCTACCTAAAGGTAGCATATACAAATCTACCAGGGCCATCGGCAGCAGGGGTGCGAAATGAGCATCTGATTTCTCCCGCCCCCCCTTCCCCCTCAAGCCACATCAGCACTTGCTCCCACCGAAGCCACAACAGTGTACTCCCTCCCCACGCAACGCAGCATGGCTTCGCAACACCTATGACGAAATCATGCCGACGTCCATGAACTACACTCTCAGACGAACGCACAGCTCCGAGTGGACGTTTACTCGACGAGGCGACAGTGCCAAGGGGAGGAGATTGCGGCATAGAGAGCAAAACCTGAACTATTCCCGCTCAAGCAGCAAGCACTCTTGCTCGTGAACATGGAGTTCGAAAGCGCGCTCGTAAAAGGAGACACACAGCGTGCGTCGTCGAGACGAAACGCCTGTGTGCATTTCGCCTCGAAATGGAGGTTCGGCTCATCGCAACGAGTGCGAATGAAGAAGAAACCTAGAGAATGTAGCAAAAGGAAACGGTGACACGCAATGACAAGCGTCTTTCGAAGATGTTCGAGCGTTTCGCAAACTGCCGTGCATTCCGGGACAGCTTTTTTTTTTTCTTTAATGATAGTAGCCGAGTACTACCACGTGGGCTAGCAAACATTTTGCCGGAAGCGAACACCATTGAAAAACACCATTTATATTTAGGACAGCAATAACAATCGATGGTAGTACGCGTACGTACACTACAGAAAGCTAAAAAAACTATCTGCACGAGGCGAACTGAATTGGAGCAAAATTCTAGGCGTTCTTGCGGACTTCATCAGACACGCGTTAAAGAAAACTGTTGAAAGAGGTCGCGGAAGACATCTCCTTCAATTGATCAAATAGTCAATGACTTAATCAATAAATTATTATTGACTGTGATTATATAAAGGCGGGACGTTTGCAGAGGCAGAACCCCAGAACATTTTCAAGAGTAGTATTAGGATACGTCTTTAGCGGGAGTGGTTAACAACTAAACAAGGCCAACATGATAGTAATAAATACTGGTGTTTTACGCGGCAAAACAACAGTGTCGTTACAAGGAACGCCATGTCGGGACACTCCGCGTTTACTTCGGTCACATGGGCCTCCTTTACGTGCACATGAGCGTAGGCGTGCTCAAGTTTTCCCACTGTGGGAGAGGGCCAGGGAACAAAGCCTTCTCGTAGGCCCCCTCCTCCTCCCCTTGACTGGTAGAGTTAAAAAAGAAAACATGCTTCGCAACAGATAAAACAATGACATAAATCACCATCATAACGAGAAACTCAATTATGTTAGAGGAGCTTACTCGGAGATGATCGGGTAACTAGCAAATCCTCCGACCACATCTCCTACCATCATATATAGTCATGGCAACGTTGTTATAAATACATTGCATACGCAATGTTTATTAATTTACATTTGTATGCAATACCGACATTTTTTGATGAACTATATACATTATTTATGCGCAAGAGATGTTCTGTTGCAAAGTACAAGAAGGGCGTCCCTCGATGAGCTCTGGGACTAATTTTCCTTTAAATATTACTGCTTTATGACGCATGAACTATATACATTACATATACACACACGAGATGTCATTTTACAAAGTACGCCGCCCGCGGGACGCTCCGCTTATTTAATGCAGACGACTGGAACGAACGCATTGATGCACGCGCATGTTTCCAGTGTTCTACGTCTCCGCGAAGCAGTGCACATCGGCTGCGGTCAAGACGTGATCATGTTCGACCTCATCAACGTGTGCGTTGAGGGACCAAATGTTGAGAAGAGCAAGGTTGAACTCGGTGGAGTGGTCGACGTCTTCTCGCAGGGCACGAAGGTACCGTTGCGTTAGCGTGGACAACCTGTGCTGCTCCAGACGCCGAAACTCGCCGAGCATGTCCGTGTGTTCATTGGAGGTCTTCTGGTAGAAGGGGTGATCCCTGATGACGCTGGTCGGTCACCTGGTCAGGTAATAGTTGTCGATGTTGGTACACTGAATGAGTGCCACGTAAACGAGTGTCTGCTGGTTCATCTTGCTGTACTCGTATACTACCGAAAAGGACGTTCCCCCCTTGGTACTTGTGTACCGTTATGACACTGGCTTGCACGAAGGGGAACCGGTTGCGTCTTGGGGTCGAGGGTGAGCGTGACCGTGCGAGGTTCGATTGGTATCTAGGGTGGTTCTACATCGTAGCCTTAACTCGCGGCTTCGCTGGCCCACAGGTCCGAGTTCGTTCGACGGCAAGCCCTCTTCACTTCGGCCTCCCGGGCTGTCCCATCAGGGTTTTGGCGGCGAGCCCGAGCTGCGGCTGTGTTTCGAGCCCACCACGCTGCTGCCTTGGCTTTCGAGGTGTTAATGCGGCCGAGCAGTAACGAAGATATTCAACTACGTGAGCTCCCGACGAAGAGAGAAGAAGCTCACGTGCCGAGAGCGTTTCTGATATCACCGGAGAAGTGTACACGCCGCCGCCGCTGGACAAAGCGCGAGCATAAGAAGCTTGCTTGGCAAGAGAGAGAGAGAGAAATAAATAAAAGGAAGAGACAGGGAGGTTGACCTAGACGAACTGGTTTGCTACCCTGTACGGGGGTGGAGAAAAGGGTCGGAAAGAGGATATAGATATAAAATAAATTAGAAAAAAACCACATGCGCACACATTCAGGGAGTTCCGATCACAGTCGTTTGGACAGGCCGGTTGAACGCAAGAAGCGCAGGAGCGCCTTCACAGCCTTCTTCTGCGACATAAATTCCTCTCGGCAGCGCAGGAGTCTTTCTTCCGAAAGAGGCTGGTTGTCCAGTTCATCTAGTGCATTGCAGAGTGACTGTCTCTGCGAGCAGTATTGTGGGCATTCACACAGAATGTGCCAAGTTGTTTCATCACTGCCACAATGGTCGCATGCAGCAGTGTCAGTCATTCCTATGCGGAACGCGTACGCATTGGCAAATGCGACGCCCAACCATAATCTGCACAGCGTAGTAGCGTCTCGTCGGCGTAATTCCGGAGGAATTCGAAAACTTGCTAAGAGCTTGCTTGGCAAGCTCTTAAAAGAAGCTATCACGCGCTTCTTATTTTTGGTTCCCTGGCTCTGCTGAAGTAAATATGCGCAGTAAGCAGTTCCTGGAATGCGAAATCAGGGGTCTTCGGCAGCCATTATTGTCAAAAACCACCGTGACCATAACTTAGTCAAGAGCAGTGCGAAATAAACTAAGGATACGTAAGAACTTTGTACCTACCAAATGGCTCGCATTCACTCTCTTTTCGGTTACATAATTTAGTGTATACCAATAGGACAGACTTTGCACCACCATTCTACGTGATTAGGTGGAAAGGGGGAGCCCACCATCCCCTCCCCTTCGTGCACACGCCTACGCATACGGGGGTTCTTTGCATTTCGCCCCCATCTAAGTGCTATCACTTTGACAGAGAATAGAACCTACGGCATCAAGTTCAGCAGCGCGACACTTTACGTGCCAAACTAAAACCTCGGATCGAAAGAGAAAAAATTGAAATGTCACATCTTTCTTAAGAGTGCGTGCGAAACTTTTTGTTATTCCTTTTCCCCTTAGAAGATTGGGGGGGGGGGGGGGAGTGTAACATGGTGAGTATTGTGACTCATGATGATGAACGTGAACAGGTAGCTTACATAAGTAAAATGATGTGAATGACGTGTGTTACGGTAGTGTTCCACAGTTTAGTGCCCCTATAACAGAATTAATAAAAGCCGAAACTAGTTTTTATGTGCGGTATACATGATCCTCCAGTTAAGGCAGTAAATATATGGGAAAAAAGATATGTGGTATTGGATATGTTGGCTTCTGATAATTTCGCTTTATTGAAGTTGTCAAACATCATCACAGACAGATACAAACAAACTATCTGGTGCATTTCATATTCCGTGACGGCATCTTGACGAACAGACCAGGCTCTATAGCACGCCAGAAGTGGTCCCACGTAAAAAAAGAAGAAAGAACGAAAAATGGGCCATTGTTTCATTCACCTCTAAGACGGCATCAGGCTTTGCGGCCAGTGCGCGCAGAAGCCGAGAGAAAAAGTGAGAAAAACGCGTTTGCCCGGCGAAGCGCGCCCGCTATAGCGTATAAGCAAGATGCATCTCATGTTTTTACCGCGCAGTTTGGCTCGTCCTATTCGCTGAAGTATATACGGCGTATATACTCCCGCACCGCCTTACGCAAAAAAAAGTTCACGGATCATTTCCCGCCGAAGAAAAAAGTGCCTGCCCCCTTTCTTACAACCCCTTGTGCTCCGCTTGCACGCGTCGTTTAGGTGAAAGCAGGTCGAATTACGCAATTCTATGAGGTACTAGATTGCCACGCCCTTCTGAAATTTGTCTCCGCCTCTATGAAAAACAAAAACCAAAAAGGGTTAAACCAGCTCCGTTTCGGGGACACCGATGAAAAACATGGTTTATAGCTCCCTCTTAGGAATGAGCATAACACGAAAGTAAAAAATCTCTCTACAGAAGTAGTTTAGTGTTCACTGTACTCATATGCGATGATAATAATAATAATAATAATTTTTGGGGTTTAACGTACCAAAGCCACCATACGATTTTGAGAGACGTTGTAGTGGAGGGCTTCGGAACTTTCGACTACCTGGGGTCTTTTAGCGTTCGTTTAGCGTTCGTTGACACGGGCCTCCCGCAGACGTCGCATGTACACAGCCGGAGGTATACGCTCGCGGATTCCTCGTGCATACTCTCGACTCATATGCTTATGTGGCGCGCTTATGCGGCCGAAAACCACTCACTTCTTCCACTGTCACACGAAACACATTCGGTCGTTGCCGCAAAAACAAAATACGTGGCTTGGAAGGCGGCAGCACCATATTCTAGCCACGTCAATCCGACCAATGTTGACAGATTTGACGCTGAATCATCTCGATCGCGGGCAGACGACCGTCAAACGGTCGGATCGAAACAGCGGCGATGCATTTCCATCCGTGCCGCGAGCGGAGGAGAGCGCATGAAGTGAGTACGACAAGTTTTGATGACGCGCACATCACGTGATGCGCCATCCGCGAAAGTTCCTCCTCCGTTCCCTTGTGTGAACCGACCTTAATGCATTTTCGTCACGGATATGGCGCGGTAAAATATTCACTATGGGATTGCAAAGTAAAAACCAGGAGGTAAATTTCCGTAGCGGGACGTCGAACAAGGAACTTCTCACTTTGCGGCGAGCGACACAAACCACTACGCCACAGAGCGTTACGTTGTCAAGCTGGCTAATGGCAAACGGAATAGAAAGTTGGGCTAGTTGGATATTCATGGTATAACTGCCAGTTCAAGCGCACTGTATATGGTGTATATAAATGGTAAACCATTTATATACACCATATACCGTTGGCGGTTCTCAGAGCTACTCAACTTCACCGCGTTTTCGTCATCAGTAGCGAGATGGCGCAATCGCCTCGCGTTTGGCGCCCCTGGCGTTTCTTTGAGCACACGCCTCCACGGGGCACGGTCTCTCGGACTGCGCACGGGCTGCTGAGGTCAGGCTTGTGATTAAGGAGAGAACGAAGGTCACTTCGCTCGCTGCCACGGCCGCGTTCACGAAAGGAGCACGCTGCTCTCATACGATGAAGTGAGAATTGCGACAGTAGTTCGCACTGGTCCTGTTTATACTTGTGGGTTTCGTTTCGTGCGTATTTCTTTCTGTTTGAGCAGCATGCTGTTCGTGTCGAGCTGAGACAGCTGTTTGTCCGCGCTCGAGCTGTGTGGGCTCGTTTCGTGCGTGCTGTCTGCATGAGGTGCGCACTGCAAGTTTCGAGCTGCTTGCCGTTCTTCGCATGAAATTGCAATTTGTTGCTGCAGCATTCATTCCTTCGCCATTCCGGCAAAAAAAAAATAGAAATAACACTCAACTACCTCGGTGAAGTCACGTTTCGCTTCCTTCTTATACTGATTCCAAAAAAGAGGTATCAGCCATGTTTTTTTTGTTGTTTTTTTTTTGTACGAGTCGAGTGTCGCGTGGTACAAGTGCTCTTTAGTTTCATCCAAATGCCGTTTATCGACCTACGAGCCGCTGTCTGACCTTGTTGCCTCAGTCGACGATAAAAAGCCGGCAAACGTCTGTCCTCCACAAGGACAAGGCCGGTCCCGTCGATAAGCAGACGCCACGCTTCTGCATCATTGAGATGGTGGGCGATCTCCGCCGAGTGCTCGCTCGTTGTCCACTAAGTCGGCCGACGCACTCCGGTTATATCGGCGACACTTGTAAACGCGTTCTTATCTGCTTTCCCTGGCGTTTGCTTTCACATCTCGCGTACTACGATTGTAAACACACCGTACAAGGCCTCTAGATTGTCTCAGCGGCGACCTGTTTGTCTAGTAAGAAAGGAGGATAACTGCTGTGGCAAAAGCACCGTGATGCGCAGTTGGGACAATTAGCTACACTGAATAACTCAAAAAAGGAGTATTACGAAGAAATACTTTCTGCTCCACCTACCGTATTTAACCAATTTCAACGCACACCTTTCTTCGGGAAAAAAAAATGGACCTTAAGATCACATGCGCGTTAGATTCGAGAACAGGCGTTTAAACTGCCCCATAGCTATGTTCTTGTTTTGAGGTTATGTAAGCTAGGTGTGTGTGTTAAAATTAGGGGCCCGTTGGAATAGGGTAAATGCGGTAATTTCATGGACTCTCCCTCACTTGACACATTGAATGCAGTCTGCTTAATTCTAGCCTGGACAACCAACTACAGGCCATCATCGTCGTCGTCAACGTCATCATCATCATATTCATCATCATAATCATTTTTATTTTTTTACGTTAATAGGTTTTATTTTTTAGGTTAATAATAATAATAATAATAATAATAATAATAATAATAATAATAATAATAATAATAATAATAATAATAATAATAATAATAATAATATAATCCTTGGTCCGCACCATAAACATATAGCAGGCAGTGTCAATTAAAAAAGAAAAATGAACAGGGCTGCTCCTGCTGCTGCTGCTGCTCACGACGATGATGATGATGATGATCATCATCAGCAGCAGCAGCAGCAGCAGCAGCAGCAGCAGCCTGACTAGCGTAGCCTGACTATGCTCACTGCAGGATAAAAACATTTCTCATATTTATTTGTCCTATTCACCCGGTGTGCATGCGGCCACACCATCACCGCAAACTTCTGAAAAGGACACTAAAGAGAAAAACAAATGTTCGAGTATAAGTAAAGCGTAATTTTACAGTTCCAAAAACACCATTCTTACCACGAAACGATGCGATTGAGAAAACGCGTGAAAGGAAAATGCTGTTGGAGACGCCGCCTTGAGATTTCCCCACCAAACGTCGTGACGTCATAGATTCTCGTGGCGTCTGATATGTCATATGTAGTTTCTAATCGGGTAAAAATGAACTACATTGTCATAAGTCGGCGCCATATACACGAAGTATCAAAAGTTTTCATCGAGCCTTTGTCGCAAAAATACGAAAAATGTATTTTGCAATTAGTGACATCACGGGCGGAGATTTCGGCGTGAAATTTAAAAATAAAACCTCGGCGTTGATTTTTTTTGCTAATTATGAATTTATGATAGTGAAACTTACGACGTTAGAGTTTTCGGAGTACAGTTTATCAATTCAAACCAAACATTATTTGGCATTAGTGTCTCTTTTAACCTCATCTTAACAGCATTTTCCCCCGTCTGTGCCAGTGTGCCCTGGTGTCCATATATAGAATTTTCAACATTTGTTGCGATGTCTTGAAATCTTTTAATCTTTTTCTAGTGTCGTTGGCTACAGCATCTTCAGTCCAGTGGTTGGTGCCGTCAGCTCAGTTACTGCCTAGTACAAATCTTTAAGGATGCAATAGCGCATTCTTTCACTAACGATGCCTCCTAAACTGAAGCGAATAGTATTGACAACCCCCCATATAGCCAATGATTCTGCGTGCAGAGTTGAACCCCCGGGAAGTTTAAAACTGTGAAAGCCATTGTGTTGTGGTGTAGACATGCATATACAGTCCATGTTGGTTGTTTCGTCGCTGATTGCAGCGTCAGTGTAAATGTCAATGATGTTTTGAGCCAATTTATTCTCAAGTAGTCTTCTGCCTTTCACATCTCGTCTGGAGATAGGGCATTGTTTTCTCCGAGTACGTAGTGGAACTTCCCATCGTAGCACTGTTAGCAGGTTCTCAGCCACTGGCATCACGTGCACCCAGTTATTCCATGCCATGACCTGTTTTTACTGTGGTGTGTTTTCCATTTGCATTCTAAATTGTGCTTGGCGATTATGTTCCGCATTGGTGGTATAGGTTCTAGATTGAGCAGGTCGGCGTTCCTCGTTTATTTTGGCAGTCCAGTGATCGTTCGGATAGTTTCCCTGTGCAACTTTCCAATGTCGCTAATATCTCGATTGGAGAAGTTATGCACAGGTACCCCGTACAGAATCCACCCAACTGACACTGCTTTTGAAAGTGTTTTGGTATGCATTTTGCCGTGCCCCGCCATACTTATTTGATGTGCGTCGGATCATACGCATCATCGGATTCCAGTTACGTTCTAAAGAGCATTTCCAACGTTAAGGGCTATCGCGGCTAGCAATGTCTGCCCCAAGAATTCTGATTTGTCCATTTGAAGGTGTGATATCTGTTTCGCCCATGTTCATTGTAGTCTGTTTGCTTGGATTTCTTGATCGTTTCCCATCCGTCTTCTCTGGTTACAATTGTAGTTCGAGATTATCTAAGGTATACACTAAAGACGCTAAGAATCACTGCTTGAAGTTCGGTTTGCATATTCCCCTCGTCGAGATAATCCTCTGCTTCCGTGTATATTGTAATGTCGTCAGCGTATATAAAACGCGCCGTAGTGTCTCTCTCAAGCCTTTCTTCTACTTGTATCATGGCTATAATAAAAAGCATAGGTCAGAGGATGGATCCCTGGGGTACTCTCCAAGTAATATGTTTTGGGGCTCCATCGCGGTGCCGGGCCATGGAGCTTGATAGGCCTGCTTTGGAGGAGGCTGCAAATTCAATAGCATGCTTTTTTTTTTCGAGGAAGAAAGCGAATTTAACAGTCAGTGGCTTTTGGTATTGACAGACTCCGTGCTCACTCTCTTTCGTCCTCGTTCGCTCTATCGGTTATGCCAACGCCGCTCAATGCTCAATGAGTGGCGCTCTAAAGGGAGAGCGGAATACAGAGAATAGGATCGTCGCAAAACACCGAACGGCTCGTCTACTATACTTCAACAGCACGCCTTACGCAAAGCAGTCACTTCGGGCTGTCTATAACTCTCCACAACAAAGCTGACTACATGGCCAAACTGTGCACAAACAATGATACTCAAGAACGTTTTAAGGAAGCTATCCAATCAAAGAACCGTCCGTATACTTACATGATAACTTGATTACAATGCCGAGTCGACAAATTGGCTTGATTATGTGGCCAGCCCCGATAAGCTTGCTACTTGCCTTAGTACGAATAATCTTACACTATATGGCAGCAACCATGCTTGCTCATTATTCAAGTAGAAGGGTAAAATTACTGCATAATCTGGTCGATGTGGACCGCTGTATAAAGCAATGCAACGAAGCGTCTTTATAGCCAATCGATTTAGCAAAGCGCGTTTGCCTAGCGATACATCCAAGATTCACCTGCTGATCAAGCCGTGTAGTTTCGGAATTCGCTCGCATGCAGATTCCTGGTGCAGAATTATTCACAGCCCCACAAGCGCTGTTGACTACGCTGCTTCAAAACCTCAAATAGAAAACCTTCGGAAACTTGGTCTATCTTCGTGTACTCGAAGGCAGCTCTTCAATGTATCATGTCACCCGTTCACCATGGACCTAATGAACAGTTAGTAGCTGAAATAAAGCTTCTTCATCACCAAGCAATCGAGAATTAACACAGCATAGTGTATCAGTGGATACCAGGTCATTGGGGTATATATGACAATGCCCGCGCAAATGAGGCCGCTAGATCTGCACACGACGGTAATCAATACACAGCCACCCCGTTCTCAAGAACCGACGCAGCTACAAGACTTCGTTCAATTGCACGTGATCTCACACTGGTACAGTGGAACTCGACAAAATTCACAAACACGCGTCTGCATAACTTGGATCCCGATCTCCAGCTTCGTCTTGCCTCAGGAATATCTCAAGCTGAGTAGACCCTTCTATACCGCCTGTGTCTTAGAGTGGTCATCACGAACGCATACTCCTGTCTTATGAGAATGAACAGCTCTTCTACACCACTTACTGCAGCTGCAAAGAAACCATCGCGCACCTTCTGTATGAGTGCACCCATTTCAAAGGGCCAAGACAAGAACTGACTGCAGCTCTGGATAGACTAGATGATCGGCCTTTGTCAGAATAAAAAATTCTGGGTCATTGGCCGAGCCCATCCTCAGCCCAAAAGGCTTTGAAAGCCTTGCTACGATTTTTGCGGACAACTGGCCTCACAAGCAGACTTTAGTGTCTTATTCTCTTTGATGTTGCCTTTGCTGTGTAGTTATTTTTTATTCTCTTTCTTTCTCTGCAACATTTTTGTCTGTCTTTTATTCCCCTCACCCCTTTCCACAGCACAAGGTAGCCAGCCGGTCTAAGAACTGGCTAAACTCCCTGTCCTTCCTCCCTGTCCTTCCGATCACAGATGCGCAGCAGATATGGCTTCCGGACATCGACGGCACAGCTCGTGAAGTTGCAACCAAGTTCTCGGCCTTTGAAATCGTCGTTGGCAGCGCCCGGACCGCCTCAGCCTCTCCCCTGGAAGATATGACTACGCCACCAGCGTCAGCACGTCTGCTCGGTACACAGCTGGCGCACCACGGATCGCTCGGCAGTGTGTACGGCGGCAGCGTCAGAATGCCACCTAAAAATCCGCTTCAATTCTTTATGCAGGTGAGAAAACATTTCGGAAAATGTTTCCGCAGTAATAACGTATTTATTATTTTGCTGCCGTGCCCACGGCCATTGTGCGACCTGGTTTGCAATGTCTGTGCAACTTTGAGGTTCTTGCTGCTTATGGCTGGAGATGTAGAGTCCAATCCTGGTCCCGAATTCGACGAGTTGGTAGAGCAGCTGAAACGAATAGCGGGTGATATCAAGGAAATTAAGGCAGGCAAAGCAGAAACTAACGAAAAGCTAAGTGCAATTGATAAAAAGCTTGAGAAAATTGCTAGCCTTGAGATCAAGGTAACTGACTGCGTTAACAGAATAACTGACCTTGAATGCAGTATGGCAGTTATGGCTAAGAAACTCGACGACCTGGAAAATAGAAGTCGGCGCTCTAACTTAATTGTGTACGGTGTCAACGAGCAAGAACACGAGTCGCCCGAAAAACTTGAAACGGCTGTAATCAAAGAAGTTTTCAATGATGTGCTTGATGTCAAAATCTCGAGCAGATTGTTTCAGTCCCAACTCGAGTACAGGGGGCGTCATCCTCGATCTTGGACCTTGTTTTTATAAGTAACAGCCTTCCTACAAATGAATCTCGAGTAGACGTACTTGATGGATTATCCGATCACAAAATGGTATTATGCACATGGCCCTTTGTTAGCCCACCGAAATTACATGGCCAATTAAAAGAAATAGCCGCATTTAACAAGGCCAATGATGCAGCTATAATGACGTACTTTGTACACGAGTACACTGAATTTTTTTACCTTTGTTCTGATGCTTGCTCTAGCATTGATGCGGTTTGGCTGAAATTCAATTTCCATGTCATGCATTGTATGCGGAACTTTGTCGCAATGGTTTTTAAATCAGCTCAAAAACACAATCCGTGGATCACACGTGAAATAATTCATACTAAACGCAAAATCAACAGGCTGCGTAAAACTAACAAAAACCGGAATGTTCCAGACTACCGTTCTATACTAAACTCACTTACTAGATCACTTAAGAACCAGGTGCGTAACGCGAAACAGAAGTTCTGCGGGTCCACGTTGAATGAGTTTATTAAAAACTCTCCGCACAAATTCTGGAAATATATGAACACAAAAATGACTAATCGACCTTCACCAGACGGTCAAGACCAAGCAAGAGCTGACGATTTCAACTGTTATTTTCGTTCGGTTTTTACAGTCGATAATGGCACTGTGAACATGAATGCTTCTTTTTATAATCAGGTTATCCAGTTATTAGGCACGCCTTCTTTTTGAAAGGCTGGCATTATGTCGCAGCTTCTAGGCATCAATGAAAAAAAAAAAGTAGCAGTCCAGACGGAATCCCAAATGGCTTCCTTAAACGACATGCAGAACCAGTCAGTAAATATCGTTCTTTATTATACTCCAAATAACTGGCAGATGGCTGCATTCCAGCTGAATGAAAAATTGCCAAAATTACTCCAATATAAATCAGGTCCTTCTCTAGTCCTTCTAATTATAGGCCTATTTCGATTACCTGCACTAGTAGCAAAATTCTTGAACATATTGTGTTAAAGTTTCTAATTAGCTGTATTGAATCAAACAACATTCTGCATCCCAACCAGCATGGCTTTAGATCAGCACTATCTACAGTTACACAGCTCGTCGAAACTCTTCATGACCTGTCTCTCGGCATAAATGAACGTATTCAAACTGATGTAATTTTTCTCGACTTCTCGAAGGCATACGACCGCGTCTCGCACCCTAAACTACTACTTAAGCTTAATCACTTGTTAGGTGATGTCCCCATCTTTCAATGGATAACTAATTACTTAACTGACCGTCACCAAAACGTACATCATAGCATCCACACTTCTGGCCTAGTTCCGGTGTTGTCAGGCGTCCCGCAGGGGTCTGTATTAGCTCCAGTTTTGTTCCTAATATATATAAATGACATAACTAACTACGCTGACGTTAAACTCAGACTCTTTGCAGACGATTGTATGCTCTACAATGAAATACGTCATCCCAATGATCAGGTGAAGTTGAGTAATTCAATAAACAAAATAGCTCAGTGGTGCGCTGATTGGCAAATGAATATAAATATTGACACAACTGTATTTATGTCCATTACCAACAAGGTGTCCAAGTTTGATTTTCAATACCATTTTAATAATGTGCCACTACGAAGGGTTAACCAGTACAAATACCTTGGTATCACAATTTCATCTGATCTTAGTTGGACAGACAACATGCGTCAAGTGTCCAAAAAAGCGATGAGCAAATTATTTTTTATTAAACGGGCCCTGTCATTCACCACACATTAAACGAAGCTTCTTGCTTACGTCACATTTGTCCATCCAGTCTTAGAATATGCTAATATTGTGTGGTTCCCTCACACTGTGAATAGTATCGCTATACTGGAAAGGGTTCAGCGGAAAGCAGTGCGCTTTATCTTTAACACATACGGGCGCAACGACTCACCTACTGCTCTACTACATCGTGCTGTCTAGCCACCCTTGAAAGTCGTGCAAAGGTTTTTCGGCTCAAATTTCTTTCTCTACTTTTACACAGATCATTCCGCATAAACCCAGATCTTTACTTGAGCTTACGTGATACCAGACCGACGAGGCGAAGCCATGCATGGGAACTCGAAGACTACTCATTTAGTAATAATACTTTTTCCTATTCGTTCTTCCCGCGCGTAATTCGAGAATGGAACACACTGAATCCAGTCATCACACAGCAGCCAACATTAGAGAACTTTATGAAACGAATTGAAGGCACTGATCTATTCTAACCTAGTTAGCATGTACAGTGATCACCTGTTTTTCCTTCACGCAGTACTTCCTGTTTCCGATTGTCATACTAAAACGCTTGTCTGCATATATTTATTGTTTTAATACGGTTCCTTGATAACAATACTCGATCTGTGTTTTCTTCTTTCTGTGCTTCGTTTCTACTAGACTCCTGTGTTTTTGTTGGTGTACCATTGGTGTACTTCGTACTTGGTTATCGTTCAAATAACTATGTATGATTGTTCTATGCCATACTGCTGTGTTCAGTGATTATGTGTTCGTTATTATTCTGCTTTCAAACGTCGAAAGTTGTGACAGTGATGCTCACCCCTGTAATAATCCCCATGGGGGATTGACGGTATTCTGTGAATAAATAAAAATAAAAAATATTTCCTCCTCCTCCTCCTCACATATGCGCTGTATATTGGGCGGCCAGTGAAAGAAAGAAAGGAAGAAAGAAAGATAGAAAGAAAAAAAAGAAAGAAAGAAAGAAAGAAAGAGGGATAGATAGATAGATAGATAGATAGATAGATAGATAGATAGATAGATATAGATAGATAGATAGATATATAGAAGATAGATGATAGATAGATAGATAGATAGATAGATAGATAGATAGATAGATAGATAGATAGATAGACAGACAGACAGACAGACGACAGACAGACAGACAGACAGACAGACCAGACATAGTAAGATAGATAGATAGAATACGATAGATAGATAGATAGATAGATATAGATAGATAGATAGATAGATAGATAGATAGATAGATAGATAGATAGATAGATAGATAGATAGATAGATAGATAGATAGATAGATAGATAGATAGATGATAGATAGATAGATAGACAGACAGACAACAGACAGACAGACAGACAGACAGACAGACAGACAGACAGACAGACAGATAGATAGATAGATAGATAGATAGATAGATAGATAGATAGATAGATAGATAGATAGATAGATAGATAGATAGATAGATAGATAGATAGATATAGATAGAAAGATAGAAAGAAAGAAAGAAAGAAAGAAAGAAAGAAAGAAAGAAAGAAAGAAAGAAAGAAAGAAAGAAAGAAAGAAAGAAAGAAAGAAAGAAAGAAAGAAAGAAAGAAAGAAAGAAAGAAAGAAAGAAAGGAAGATTGCTTTCCTTCATAAGTGAGTTCTGCGATGTCCACGGGAAGACCAGTAGATCTTCATTCGTATTTTCCACGTATAGGCAAAAATTAAGTTGTTAGAAGAATAAATTATTGTTTGCACGGTCGGCTTCATTGTAAGCATGGAGTAAGTCCAACTACCAACCACAAACTTCGAAGGGAGTGTGTTATATATTATGAGAAGAAGTCCGGTACGGCAGTAGCCAGGTTATATTTCGATTATCCCGACGCGCGAGACCAAACGCGGCCCAGCCCGCGTGGCGAACGATGATGATCATTACAATAGTTTGGTTACAGATGACAAAGTACGCAGTCAGCGCTCACACTACTTTCTTTCCTTTGCGAAAGAGGGCAGCAAATTAGAAAGGGTAGGAATGCTAATACGAGGTGTTAGTCGAGACATGTGAGCGATATCGGTGTTACGGCGACGATGATCAGGAGCTGCGCTGACAGGCGACGCGATAATTGACGTCAGACGTTCGTACCAGCACGGTGTATGAACCGAGATACCGATGAAGGAATTTTTCGCAGAGCGCAGGTGCACGACCAGGTGTCCGCAGAAGGACTTCGTCGCCTGACCGGAACAAATCAACTCGACGTTTCGCATCAACATCGACTTTCCTCTTGTCCTGAATGGTAGCAGTGATGGGAGCATAAGATGTGGACAAAAAGGTGGTGTCCAGAACAAAATTCGGTGCCCAGCCATACATCTGAAAGAGCGGGCTCTAATTCGTCGTACGTTGTATGGTGGTATGATATGCGAACGGGACAAAAGGAAGTACAGTGTCCCAGTTTTTTGTGATCTGTTCGAACGTACATGGAGATCATGCCGGACAAAGTTCAGTGAAAACGCTCTGTCGGACCACTAGGTTGCGGATGGTACGCTGATGTAATCTTGTGGATGGTGTCAGAGGCCTGGAGGACTTCAGCAAGGACATGCGAAAGAAATGTCTTGCCACGGTCCCTAAGAAACACACGAGGGGCGCCATGGCGTAAAATAATTTCACGCAGGACAAAATCGACGACTTCTGAAGTATCACGAGACGGAAGAGCTGCTGTCTCCTCGTACCGAGTA